CATGCAGTTGCGGGGCTGTTGTCGGGATTGCAACTGGCCCGCCCCCTCTGACAAAACAAAAGAAGAGTTGCAACCATGTTGGGGACATGCAGTTGCGGGGCTGTTATCTGCAACTGGCCCGCCCCCTCTCCCGGCGCCCCCTTTGACATAACAAAAAAGTCCAGTTGTGGTCGGGTTAGAAGACATGCACTTGCGGTCGGGTGCAAAAAAAAAATATATGCTGATATTCTTTTACGCATAAACAAGAAAAATAATATGAAAATGCCGGTCCTATACAAAACAGAAGTCATGGTTTAAAAACCCGCTAACAACCAACATACCCACTAACATTTATGTCTACATGGTTCAAAAATCCTCAGTCATCGAAGAAAAAGCGTTTCCTACCTTATGGAAGCATAAAAAATCTAAATGCATACATAAATAAATTCACAAATAGAAACCTGGCATAAAAGAGGGGAAAACAGAAGAAAAAAATGCAACTGAAGAACCCCGAGGGACGAAGACCCCCTCCCTGAGACAAGTACTCCACGGTAGATATGGTGTGTACATGGCAATTGAAAAGTCCAACAAAAACAATGAAAAACGCCTCTCACAACCAGCACATCGCGCATCAATTCCGAACACGAGAAAAGTAAAGAAAGAAGAAGCGGGCGCTAAACAAGTCGGGGTAACACTAGACAAGCAGTGTTGCATGAATCTTACGGAAACAGTGATCTAACGGCCATATATGTGTACTGGGACTTCGATTAAACTCAATCGACTAAATTTTAGCAATCCAGGTAATAAAATTTCAACTATCGCAACCAACATTTACTTACAAAGCATCTGATGGATGTGCAACTAAAAATGATTAACAAAAAATTGGTAGGAAATTTCGTTGCTAAAATAGGGCTGCTCGAAATTTGGAAAATATGCTAAAATCAAATAGAATAAAACACAACATTAATAAGCAAGGACAAAAGGGAAAATTAAATTAAATAAACAAAACGAAAAAATGAAATGGGATAAGCCTAATAAGGAAAAATAAATAAAAGAAAAGTTAAAGACTTATAAAAAGTAAATGAAAAGTAAACAATAAAAAAGAAAAAGGTAAAGAAAAAAAGAAAAATGAGAATGAAAAATTATTTTGGGAAAAAGAGAAGCCACTGTGACTTCCTCTCCGACAGGCAAAACTCACTTGTGTAGGGCGAGAAAAAGAAACAAAATAAAGTACTTTTCTTGTAGGCTGACAAAAATAACTAAAAAAACACACTTGGGAAACTTGGGCTGCACAGCAAAGGGAACAAGGCCCAGAAGAAAAAAAAGAAAGGCTCTCTCATCTCCACCGGCCCGTGCAGCGACAAAGAAAAGAGCTGGTTCGAGCCAACGTACACGTACACACGATTGTTATTGACTGAGACTTCACAGATATTTAGCGTAGCCGTTATCTTATACTCCCTCCGTTCCTAACTATTTGTCTTTCTAGAGATTTTAATAAATGACTACATATGAAGAAAAATGAATGAATCTACACTTTAAAATATGTTTATATATATCCATACATGGTAGTTCATTTGAAATATCTAAAAAGACAAATATTTAGAAACGAAGGAAGTATATTAATATTAATATCCAGCTAAGTATATGAAGCTCATCACTTAGCCGGAGTGGATGCAACTCCAGAGAAATCTTCTATGTTGATATGCAGCCAAGTGTAGCAAGCTCACTTAGGCTCAGTTCTTTTCTGGCTTATGGACGACTTATGATGGAAAATAAGCACAAGCTGAAAAGAACTCATTTTTTTGTATTCGGCTTAATTTCCGGCCACAACCGGTCCCTTCATGTTTGGGAGAAGCCGAGAGAGAGCAGCTTCCCGAGCGCAGCCCTTTAAAAATTAAAGCGGTACATCGCTATGCCCTCCGCGTTGGCAGTATTTACGAGAGAAATGCCACCCGCGAAAGATATAACTCTAGGCATCGAAGCCATCTCTCCCGACGCATCATCCGCTTCGGGCGTCTGCTAGGTTTCCTTGCCGCCGCCTCTTGTCCAGCTAGCCGCCGCTGCCGTCGTCCTTCCTGACGCCATGCAGGGAGGTTAACCAACGTCGCTCCCAACGTCGCAATCGCTGGCCTCCGCCCGTCCCTCTGCCGCTTCCCGTCCTGCTGCACTTCCGTCCTGCATACTAGCTACTCCCATCTTCATGGCAAGCTCCAGTCCGATCGTCCCCGTCCAAGCTCTTATCAAGGTAAGCACCGTCTGTCCTCTTATCTTTCTGCTCCGGACTTCTTTCCTGATCTGCATGTGATGCATGATGTTATGAGTGTATCTGGGTCCGGTGCAATACATGTGTATGTGTCTGTGTAG